ACAAATTTTATAGGGGTTATAATAAGTTGTTATCAGCACTATTTACTGTTTTTTTAAATTTATACAGTTACATCTTGATGCTGTGTGGTCCATCGGTTCACCACTTAGAACAGTTTTGTACAATGGAGATATTCAAAAATGCCCATTTCACCTGCAACTGGCTACAAAATGGATGAAGGCCATGGAAAAGGAATGCTTTGATTAGGATAACTAAAACGTAAAGTGTAGGTCAATATATTCTTAAATAATGTATTATCTTCAATGCATTCATTAAAAAACTAGGGTTTATAAAGTTATTCACAGTATTTTTTCAGTATATTTAGGTGCTTAAGAGAATGTTTCTACATGAAGAGAAACTGGAATGAACATGAGCTATTCAAATTCATGTGCAGAAACAGACCAACGTATGCCTCACCGCACAATAGCTGATTATTGAGTGTTATCATTAAATATCCCTCACTTTTCTGATCATGCTTACTTGAATTGACTTTTTCTCCGAAGGCTGGATATTTAAGACAGTGGAGGGAAGATGATGCTGCACTTGTTGGCACTTGAGGATCTGAATGTCAGCCACATTCTCTCTCACTTTCTTATGTTACCTTATTCTGATTACAAATCACTCTCTTTTATTTCATGGCTAAGCAAGACACTTGTTAAAAGATTGCTTGAACAATACTGTAACCTGTTCAAGAGATGACAGACTATGTGTCTGCATAGAGTAAAGGGACATCTAACAACAGCATTGCCCTGCTTTTCTTGATAAATGTCGGGATTTTACCCTGGCTTCCTCGCCTCATTTTACAGTATGCGTAGAATGTGAATGATTAGAATGACATAGACAGATATGACATGGGCCCACTGGTGTACTTTCTGCTCCACAGTTCTAAACTGGCGCTTCTGTGACCACCTGTGTGGCCACCTGTGTCTGGCTGCTTAGGAGCCTTTTGCCTTTTGTTGATCTCCCATGGGAAGTCCTCTATTGGAAGTGGGCTGGCAGGGCTGCCTGAGCCCTCTGGTGTGCTCTCAGGAGTTCCCTCTATAATCTCGATTCTAGGTGGATCCATCAAATCCATGATGCTGAAGGGTGCTGGCTCTGGTTGGCACATCACTGACTTGTCCTCGGTGTTCTGTCGAACAGACCAGCTTGAGCCTGCCTGAATTCCTATGGACACTCTGTCGTCGGTTTGTGTGGTACTGTCGCTGCAAGGCTCCCGACACAAAGTCCACATATTGTAGCACTGAGTAAAGTTGAAGAAGTTGCTGTTGAAAGTTTTTAATTCTCCACAAACATCTCTTCGCAGCTCTGCTAGCTCATAGCGCATTGCTGAGATTTCATCCTTCCACTGCATGTTAAAGGCAGCAACCATGTTCGCAGACTCCTTGAAGGCCTGAATGGCCTGAGGGACTGGTGGCTCAGAGGTGGCTATGGGTGAGGCAGTAGGGACCCTGTATGAAGGCGGTGATGCTGGCGGGACAGAGATGGCTGTTACGGTGGAGCTAGTACTGTGCTGGCTGCGAGCAGCCGCAGTCTCTCTCTCCAACCTCTCGAGCTCCGCATAGGCAGAGGAGCTAGCACCATCATCATCCTCTATCATGTCGTCATTTAGCAAAGATGTCCCATCCACAACATCATATCCCTCTGGAAGAAAAATGTGAATATGCAAACAGAAGGACATTCAAGGTGAAAGGAACAGCTGGAGTGTGATTTGATTTGGATTCTGAACTAGAAAACAAACACATATCTATGGAAAACATACAGTATGTGAGTGGCAGGTTCCAAAGACATACAAGATCAGATCCATTCATTTCCTATTTGGTTCTAAGGGTTAAATAAGGGATACGCACCCACCATATGTGGTGTGCTGTTCAAAGGGCAACATGCTTGCACTAGAGCTGTACAAACATCAGTAAAAGTTTTAGACTTTTTTTTTCTTTGCTTGAACTTTTGTGGTATAAGTTTTTCAATTAAAAAAAACCACCACAAAAAGAAAAACAATTTATACATAAGAGCAATCCAACATGCAATAGAGATACAGTCTTCCAAAGTCACTACAGACTTTTTTGAAAAAGGATCTTGTGTCCCTTTACATCAAAAGATAACGATAAACTCACATACTGTAGGCTTTTCACAATGTTTTTACACTGCCTTCTCAGTCATCTCAAGGCTTCTTTCCATCTTTTCACTGCACAGCACAACAAAGAGTGAATTAAACATGAAATGCATCATTGTTAAACCATAAATCCATTTTCTGAGAACCCTTTTCTGAAGACATTTTAAATGTTTCTCAGTGACTTGAAATTTGTGCCATTTTGTGCAAAAGAAAAGATGTAAAGGGAGTAGAAGAATCACAACCCACTGGGCCAAGAAGCAGATATGAACCCTATTGAACATATCAGGTCCAAGGTGGCTGATTAGACCATGTGGAGTAGTAAGTAACCCGGTGAGGGGAGGGGTCACCCTCCCCCTTTAGGGCTGCACCAGGGAGAGGCTGCAATCCCACAGTCAAAGACAGCTGACAAACTCAATGCCAAGGGTTAGACTTTGCCACATGTGGCCTTTAAAGAAGTCAAATTTTCATGGAAAGAAAAAAATAAAGTTCACACATGTACAGCAGACAGAGGCTGCTCTTACAAATGATTGGAGACAGTGGCAATGCGATAACATTCAGTGCTATTTTATGGTTGCGACATGAAAACATTCTGAAAAGTTTGGGAAGTACATCTCTCATACATTTACACTTACAATGTGGTCTAAGAACACTTAAAATAGAGACATGGTAAACAACTCACAAAATCCAGCATCACATTCATCACTGTAATCAATAATCTGATGCATCAAAGTTTTAAGAATAAATCAATGAAAATGTCTGAGGTTTTATGAGTTGTTTGGCACTGTGTTTGCTACTTAGGATAACATAATGAGATACTTCTACCAATTACATATAAACTCTATGTATCTATTATTTTTACTGAGAAGGCAGTGCAAAAACACACATATACATAGATATATGTATGCGTGTCAACATTAAAATACCTGCAACAATCATCACTGATGCCTCCAGTTGTTCTTTCCCCCTGGTTATCCTTCAAGAGATGGATGGTCAAATGGAGAGGGGTTTGCTGCTCGTCTGCCCTATGGAGCATCATGGGATCCCTTCCCCACTCAAGGGCCCACTAGCCTCTGGGTTTGGTTCATAAGCTGCTTAATTATTGGCTAGCACTGAACTCTAACATAAAAACATGATTTCAGGAATCAGTGATTTTCTTAGATACCTTGGTTAAATTATTTTATTTTATTTACAGTCTGGGTTGTATGGCAGGTGACAGCACTATATCACTAATCACCATCTAGGGAACACTTTCTCTTGGTTGCTATAACCTTATCTAACATATTGTAATTGGTGCACCATGCTAATCTTCAAAATACAATTTCACAACATATTGTACAGTCAACTACTTGTTTTTAGCCCATATAGAGTTGACAGATTTAGAGCAGAGAGCTATATGAATAGAGTTCAGCAAATGAGACGGTGGGATTGGAGAACACTCCTTTATCCTTAGTACTTCTGTCACATCGAAGAAATCGCAGATGGAAACCCAATTGAAGATGAAAGGATTCCAAAAACAAAACTCCAGATTTAACAAGAAAACAAAGTCAACAAAATGAGTAAAAGTGCAAATGTCTCCAATATTAAACTGACAGAAAAGTGTACAAAAACAATAAAAATCCAGGCCATAATATTAAAAAAAAATTGTAAAAAAAATGCATGTAATTAGAGAAAAATGTTTCAATAGGGTTCATAGCTTTACTCTTGCAGGCAAACACCAAATACACTTAATGAGGGAGTTACTGTAGAGACTCTGCTTGCACAAAGAACCTGAAATGCTAAATTAAGAGTTATATTGCTTGGACTGTGTCGCACAAAACCTTGAAACCCTTGCACGTTGTATTAAAAAAGAAGCATGTACTAAAGATTAAATATGCAAGAGTCAATGCACAAAACACACTGATTTCAGAAAATCAGTTGCAAAAGATGCTGAGTTTAGGGTCACTGACGTACAGTAATTGTGTAATATGACCAGTAATATTAAATATACTCAACTGGAAACTTGCAGTTGAAGTCCTTTAATAGCAGTCACGAAACATTCATTAGTTATTTTGGCTTTGACCGCTGCTCACAAGCTTGAGCTTCATGCAACACAATACAACAATAATTGAAGGTTGTACTTCTCAAAATCTTGGAATATACCATCAGCGGACAGTTCTTTAGTGCAACCAGCATGTATGTGTGTGCATGTGGTCTAGTCTCGTTGACTTACCTTTATTTGTTTACTAGATTGTTTTTTTTTGTTTTGTTTCGATTAATTTTAATAGGTCAATTACAAGGTCAATTAAAAGTATGTGCTAATGCGTTGGTAGAACAAAGCAGGGGGAGGACAGGGGAAGGTTTGTTAGGTGTAGCTATTCCACACAAATATGTCACCAACCTACCACTCCCCTTCCCCTGGCCTGTTTCAGACATCACCCCTCCCTAGGTAGCTCACACGCTTTGCACAACACATATATAACACCACAGTTTAACATGCTTAGGGTGGGGCCTGTTTCTCTATGGCATGCCATGTAATGTGGCTGTGCTGTGTTGTCATAATGTGGCCGTGTGATGCCATCTGAGTGTTTAAAATGTAACCCTCCCACCCTCATCCTCGTTTACAGCTTGGCAACACCACAAGTGACCAATCAGAAGCTTGGCTAATGATGCATGAGTCGTGCAAAGTATCACACAAGCAAATTTATCTTAGCATTTGGGAGAATGCAGTGGCAAAAACAAACACACGCACACTGTAGCTTCCAAAGAAAAAACTGGAATCATTCAGCCTGGCATCCCTGAAGCTCAAGGGTTCCCCACTGTACATATGTAGGTATGTCAAGTTTGTGCGCATGTATAGGATGTATGAGGATATGTAACTAAGCCCTCTCTCATTTGGGGGGGTTGTTTTACCTGTTGTGGATCTGAGAGTTGAAGTGACAGTGGAGGATGTCATTGAAGGCAAGCAGTCGTCATCTTGGGAATAACCAGCCTGAATTGCACGGAGGTAACTGTGGCTTCGAGTGCGGAACGAACCAGGCAGGTCCAAGGCCTCCATGGCCTGGGATTCTACTTCACTAAAAACGGACTCGCAAACTGACTCAAACTGGCCATTGATCTCAGTCTCACTCACCTGAGAGACAAAAACAGGAATAGCAGTCCTTAATTTTTCCTCTTCCTTTCTCTTTCTCACTTTGATTCTTCCCCTTTGCACAGCAAATATGAAGGAGTGTTAGCATAAGGGAACGCCACTGTCATTTTCGACCTTAAACTGAATAAATGTCAGATCAAATGAAAAAAATGCAGATGACAACAAAAAAACAATCAGAAATATATATATGCAGTTTGTGTTATAAAGCATTCAATTTACCACAAACCCCAAAACAAAGATACACTGTATATTTAATGCTACTAGAAAATAGGAAGAACACATGGTATTTGTAATTCTTTATCATGTAACTGTAGCAAGTGTCTTAGAAATATACTAAACTGCTTGACTAGACACAAGTTGAATTCATTTCCTGATGTTAAGGTCACACTCATGTCCATATGAAAAGGAACTTTCTATCTGCTTTTCTATCTTGTGTATCATGTGTTGCCTTGTCCTGTTCACAGATCCTATTCACTCTGTATAGTTTTAGTCAGGTCTGAAATATGTACACTTGTGTATTTCAACAGTTAATGTCAGTTTTTACTCAACTGTGCAGCAGATCAATATTCAATGGACATAATCTGGTCTCTTTCTTCTTGCTTGAGTTTTAAACATATTAAATTATTACAAAAACTGGCAGGATTGCACAAATTATTTAAGAGATCAGAATCTCTCCTTCTGCTACTCCTTGTCCATTTAGAGGCTTTGTTGTTGGCTGTGTCACAGATCTTCTTACTGTAGCAACCACGTCTTATGCCACCATGGAGGTCCAAAACAGACTTGAATAATTGATCCATCTGTATAGATTCATAGCAGGGTATTTAAGAGGGAGGTACCTGGAAAGGTTGGTGTGTAATGTGAGGTTAGAAATTAAATGATTGTATGTCTACGTCTAGTCTCCATTTTTAGTACATTACGTGAGAAAAATAGGCAAAGTTAACCGAACTGCCACAAACTGCAATAATAGAGTTGTATAATGACAATAGAGTTATGAATTGTGTATCAGTAGCCTATCCCAGACATCAGGGTCCAAACTGATACCAAACTTATATCTTGTTTTCTCAATTAGGTACAATTTTACATTTCTTTATAGCACAAAACAAAAAAGCAAACTGTAAACAACATTAAACTGCATGTAGAACTGATTAAGAGGTAGGATATGAGTTAAAGCCTCTATGCCTTGTCCAAAACAGCAGTTAGTTCTGCCTAGTGACTTCAGGTGAGACATCCAAGGCTACAAGCTACCAATTAGCTGTGGATCTCCAGTATGGACACCTGTAAATGTTTCATGTCTCTGTACACACAAAGCTACTATATACACAACCGTATAACATAAGGTCTCATTCGTGCCCAGGTGTTGCCTCTGTGCGATGCATGTTTTGCGACTCACCTGGCTGACGCAGCTAGCCTGACTGAGGGTGCTGACGGCACGCATGTAGCTCTGGTTGCGAGAGCGGAAGGGTGGGGGATGAAAGGTGGTGGCAGGGTCCAGCGTGACACTAGGATGAGGCCGCATATCTCTTGTGGTTTGCAAGTGGTAGCCCTGGCTGAACAAGAACAAGGGGTAGGGACAGACACCATTTCATAGTTCAAAAGTCACAAATGGAACATTGCTGGATAACACTGCATTTAAGGAATCTGTTGACTCGCATCATGACTGAATGTCCAAAATACATGTTAGTCACTTGAATGACTCATCTCTGCATAACACTTTTTAAACTGTGGACTATTTTTATTAACATGAGTCATGATCTTGTAGTCTAGCTTCAGGTGTCCTGTGAGAAAACAGTAAGTCTTCCATCCCAAAACTACAAAGACCAGGTGTAGCTGGGATTTGTTTCCTGTGAAATAATGAGGGCCTGGAGCCACAATAATACGAGATTATTACAGTCTTCACCAAAAAACACAAGGGGTGTTTGTTTGTGGACAAAGGCAGAATCAATCAGAACCCTGCAGAGATGATGGTAACAAATATAGCACTGAGTGGCAGTGGGAATGACGAATGCATGATGCCTCCCCGGGTTCACACAATTTGGCTGTATGTGAAAGCCACACTGCCTGAAAACAAACAGTCACAGAGAACAAGAAACTTGAAGAACAAGCTTAGTTAGGATGGGAGGGTGAGGCAATAATGTCCTCTGATTACACTCAGTGAAACACTACGCACTTTGTGTTGGTTTGCCAAGAAACTGACACAGATGACCATCATCCCCATTTACCAGAAAGAGGTGATTAGGAATGAATAAAGTTAGCGAACCCTAACAAGTCAAACATTGGTTTGAAAACACAGTTGAGTACCAGGTGATCTAAACAATGTTTATAATTGAACACTGCCCAGGTCTTCTGAATAATGAACCCCTAGTGTTCTGCAGAAGAGCAAAACAACACATAATCTATATGTTAACAATGATTTATATAATACTATAACGTTAATAATGGCAAAGAAGCTGTATATTCAACTTGAACAAAAGCTGCACATTGTAACCATCATGAAAATAGGATAGGAAATACTACAAGGCTTGGTATACCAAATAAACTAGCATCCAAGGGTGACTTTTTAATCAAAGACAAAAAAAATGTATTTCTAGGAATAAACTACAAAAGCAAATACATTCAGCCCTTTGCTGTATTACCGACAACACACTTCTCAGCTCTTAGACTTCTCATCATGGAGTATAACTTAACAAAACAGCCAGTAACTTGAATGGATCGTTCTTCATCTACCAGTGTTTCAACATTCAAGTCTGCTCTCTCAGATCTGACACTGTATAACTATGAAAGACTTGCCAACAGTGTGAAGCAGAGTGTTTGTGTGAGGTACTGCAAAAATATTGAACTTGCTCACCAGAAGGGTCCCAACCCAAACCAACATGGTTCTACATAGCTCACCACAGCACTGCTATACCTGAGCTGATGACAGTATTTTCTAAATACTTAACCAACAATGCTCAAGAGAAAGTTAATATTGACATTATAAAAGTAAGTGAACAAGTAATTACAGTTAATACAGTTATCCAGGCAACCGTAGAATCATATTATACACGTGAACAAAAACTGCAGCAATTTTCCTTGGAATTACCAAAAAATATTAAAATTCTTTTAACTGTCAGTGACAGATAAACAAAGAAGAGCATCAGCAAACTATATTTTTACCTGGATGGCATGTAGATAAAGCAGTGAGTCACAGTTAAACAGCACTTTAAAACAAAAAGGCTGAGGCTGTGAATTACAACTATTGACTGCAAGGTTCAGATTTATGCAAAAAAACAATTTAGCTGTTTCTTGCTGTTTCTTTCTTGCTGAAAACCTACATAAAAAGACAAAATATATTTTCAACACAAAGATTTAGTTTTAGTGACACGTCCAGCAGAATGTATCTCGCCTGTTGATTTTGAACAAAAATGGTTTACTTCTCTCAAATTCACATTCTGGTTATTGTTATTCCCCAAAGTTATTATTGTTAAAGGAAAGTGTGTACATTTGTTATACAATGCTGCTAAAAAATAAAAAATAAAAAAAAGGTTAATGCAGCGCTGAGATGTTCTGTCACTACGTATTATAATTAAATGTGCTGATCAAAGAAAACGCTGATGTTGCAGTGGAATTTCAGACTTTTCAGATGTGTGAGAAAGTCAGCATTTGCACCAGTACTCTGCATGACAGCTCTGACACTGTGTGACATTGTGAAGCTTAACCCAAACCATTTGTACTGACCTATAGTCTATATATCATTTGCCACTATTGTTGTAATTTCAGGCCAATTCATGTTTGTGCTTTTCACATCTGTGTCTGCAAGAATATGTGTGGAGTAACTTTCATTATCAACCCAGTCTACGAGAGTCTGTGCAGACCTGTCTGCAGACATCCACCTAGAGGCCAAAGTTTGTGACCTTGTGGACCACACACATGCACATGTACCAGGAAAACAAACGTCACCTTAAACAAGTGCTTCCTATGAGGAGAGGCTATTTGAGGAGATTCTCGGTCTTTCACACATTTAGAATTCATCACTGAATTACGCTGAGTAGAAAGTCGCTGCTGGACTTTGAAGGAGCTTTGATTTGTACATGCTTTCCATTAGTGGAACTCAAACACAGTAGTCCTAATTTCTCCCAAAATCCTGTGCTATATGTCCACCTACTGTGCTCTGCACACCTCAGGATAATCACTGACATAGTGGTACAGCCCAATCTCTATCTAGCTGCTATATATCGTAAAAAGTGTAGAAAGTCACAGTCTTTCAGAAACATCAATGGAAGCCCCATGTTTCTCTTACCTTTCGTAGTATGAACACAACCTTATGTGCATCTAGCCAAAAGTCTAAGTCTTGTGTCCTCAGACTTGATGAGAGCCACACTGCATTAAAACCTAAGTAAGTAATAGTTAGCACTTTCAGATCGAAGCACTTTATGAGTGAGGTGGAAAGGCCTACCTGTGGGAGTCTAAATGATGTCTCTGCATGGCTGATTTGAGGACAAGAGCATCCGGCCGAATGGCCTTCTGTGGAGAGGTCTTAGGACTGGCGTCAGAGTCCCCGCTCTCATCATCCACCTCGCCCATAGCTTTGACATAGCTACTGCTTCGCATCCGTCGACATGGGATCTCCTCATCTTTATCACCTGGGTATCCACTCCACTCATCCTGGGGCACCTGAGGGAGATAACATCCCTGCATTAAATACCACATTCACATTTATAACCATAAGGTTGTATTAATCGATCAATTCTTTGTTTACATGAGCAGTTATCTGTGGTGGCTTGTTAAACAATGCATTATATGAGGATGCTGTGCTCAGAGAAGAAATATCAGGTTTGTACAGGCTTGTGTAAATGAGATATTATTTACAAGTACAATGGGACCCAATTAGCCAAATGAGTGTGAGAAGTGTATCAAACACACAGCCGGATAAGTTCTGGTTGGTTTTTACTCTAACAGAAAATTAAGCTGATTTACATCCCTGGTCTCAGACTCCACCTCTGTTTAATTCCCCTCTGAGCCTGCTTTCAAATTAAACCATCTCAGTGCCTGACCTTACTCTACCCATATATCATTCTTGAAGTAAAAAACATTAACTGCTTTAATATAGCTATGGAACTTTGCTTCAAAAAGTGTGCAATAAAGCAGTACAGTTTTCCTGTATTCCTGACATTCTCCAGTGGTGCAGCAGAGAGTCTTACAGTAAGTACACAAAACACAGTGGACATTTAAAACGTGTTAAATGAGTTTGTTTATATAAACTCAGTATTACATATGCACCAGTTCAGGCAGGACACCTGCATCACATTTAACACTGATTTCAGAATTACATATGTTAAAGTTTGCCAATGGCTCTGCTCTGGTGATATTCTGGCACAATATGACCAGCAGAACATAGATGCTGCCTCCAATTAAAATCCCCACAGCAGAGTCTGAGATTAACAATATTTTGATTAAAATGAATATAATCAGATAAGCTGTTTTAAAATATAATCAGCCAGGAGGAGGTGAAGGAGGAGGAGGGAGGTGGAATGCAGATCAGTATTATAGGCCAATCCAGGAGCAGTGTGGTGAGCATTAGAGCAAGCAGAAAGGAGGAACACTGTCTTGGTTGTAAGGCTCACTAATAGGGAGGGCTGTCATTCATGAAAATACATTTTATCAAGTCTTCTAGTAATTGGTGGGGGGTGGGAGAGTCCATGTCACAGAAAAGAAGGCACAAAAGTGTTTTTACAGTTTCTATGGCATTCACACTGACTGGTGATATTTCTTCAGTCTTCAAAGACACATTTTAAGGTTGTATTTCCATTCTTTTCATAAAAATATACTAAACTATGCTATTTTGCAATATATTAATGAAGAGTAAATTATACTATTGACGTAACCGAAGGGAACATTTTACTCCAAAGTAAGGTATGTTTTTTAACAAAGCAGTATTCAAATCGTATTGTGACTTTTCACAGTAATTTGACAGACCTTCGTCAGTAGCTGAAATGTACAAAGAAGGTGGCAGATGAAGGGTAATAAGGTGCACAATCTGTCAAATGCTCATATATTAACATGATAGTACCATATAAATGACAATTTAAACATTAAAAGATATGAATTGACAAAAAAAGCTGTATGGTGAAAAGGCAGCGCAGTACAGAGTTTAAAGGAAATGGAAGCCCAGGAACAGGTAAATATTGCAACTGTGTTTAACGACAAAATGCGTGAAAGTTGCCTGAATCAAAAGGTCATTTTTTTTGTCAAGACGTAAAAACTAAAGGCATAATTATGAGGCTTCTTTCCACTGAAAGGAAATCTGACTTTACTGTAATATGTGTTTCAAATGTCAACATTCAAGCTGTAAGGGTTTTTTAATGACAATGACACCTGAAATGCATTATGATTGGCCCACTGGTATAGGGGGGAAAAAAAATTCTCCTGAAAGATTTCTACTGTATGTGTCTCACAGGCATATCATCATTTCTGATAGCAAAAAGGAAGAAAAAAAGTATTGGATCCAAGGCTAAACATTGTGTTTATGTTGTAAATGAAAGCAGTGGCACAAATCAAACTAATGAGATAAACTCACAGCCTCTTAAGGGAAAGACTTGTAGATTTAAGTTACAATGTGCATATTTTCACATGAAAATGATTCAAGCTAGCCAGGGCTTATTAAATAACTCACTAACCACTGTTTTTAGTCTGACATTGGCTGGGAGTGTGTGGAGAAGTGAAGGTAAAGGTGAATCTGGTGAGAGAAATGGTTGAGCACTGTGGATTTAGCACACACATAGAAGTAGACTGATACTGCTGTGGGTTATAAACTGAAACCGAACGGCAAGTTGTAAATAGTTTAGGTGCATCTCAGAAGAAAACATACTTTTAAAAGTTGTTTTAAGAAAATTGCATTCACTTCAGTGGACTGCACATTTTCTTTTTTCAAACCAAATATTTTTAGAAACCACCAACACCTCCTGTCTGCTGGATTCCCCTAATGCAACAGTCCCCAACCACTCGGGCCGCGGACCAGTACTGGGCAATGGCTCATTTGGTACCAGGCCACACAGAAAGAATAAAAACAGAAACAACATTATATTTTTTTATTTTATTTCCAGCGAAGTCTGTTGGGTTTTGATCTTGAAAAATGACTAGACTGACTGCCGTCACTTCCGTCTGTTCTTGTTTCCTGCACTTGAATGTCAGGGTTCATGCCCATCAGTCTGACTGATGCCAAAATGAATACAAAAGAAATGTCTCTGGAGAGCTTCTTTAAAAACAGGGAGAGACTTGATGCTGAGACAGAAAAAACCTTTTTAATAGGAAAAAATGATTATTATTTGTTATGTGTGTGATGACCGGTTTGTAGAAAATTGTCTTCCTTCAAACCGCTCCATGGTGCAAAAAAGGTTAGAGACCGCTGCCCTAATGGATCCATTGCCTGCATTTAGATGGTCTCGAGTACCCTATTTGTAATCCCACATTTCTGTTGTTACATGTAAACGTCATATCCTATTTTCTGAAACCTGGATAAGGGCTGCAAGGTGGTTGGTTAGCACTGTTGCCTCGCAGCAAGAAGGTCACCAGTTCACGTAGAGTTTGCATGTTCTCCCCGTGCAGCGTGGGTTCTCTCCGGGTTCTCTGGCTTCCTCCCACACAGTCCAAAAACATGTTGAGAACAATTGGTGATCCGAAATTGTGTGTGCTTGGTTGTCTGTCTCTAAGTGAAGCCCTTTGATAGTCTATCACAGGCGACCTGTCCAGGGTGTCCCCTGCCTTCACCCTAAGTCACCTCCGGCCCCCTTGCGACCCTAGTGAGGATTAAGCGGTATATAATGGATGAATGGATGAAACCTGGATTAGGCCTTATCTCTGTTTGCCATCCATTCATCCATTATCTATACACATGCTTCATCTTCACTAGGTTTGCAGGGGGGCTAGAGCCTATCCCATCTGACTTAGGGTGAAGGCAGGGGACACCCTGAACAGGTCGGCAGTCTGTCACAGGGCTACACTTAGAGACAGACAACCAAGCACACTCACATTCACACCTACGGACAATTTAGAATCACCAATTACCCGCAACATGTTTTTGGACTGTGGGAGAAAGCCGGAGAACCTGAAGAGAACCCACGCTGCACGGTGGAGAACATGCAAACTCCACACAGAAAGATCTTGGGTGTCCTCACCGGGACTCAAACCGACAACCTTCTAGCTGCGAGGCAACAGTGCTACCACCAAGCTACCTTGCAATCCTTATCTCTGTTTTGAGAAGCTCAAATGTGTTAGCTGGATCACAGTAATATAGAAACCAGGACACTGTTGTATGTATACATTTTATCCTGGCTTCTGACTACTGCTGACTCCCAGCCAAGTGAAGTCACAGAAACACAAACGATCTGGTTGCCTCCTCCTCCTGGGACTTTATGAAGTGGCTCATAACTCTGTCCACCATGCTGCCCTGAACATATGGCTCTATATTTTTTACAGTTTTTTTCAGGAACCCTCTACTCTCCATAACTTACCACAACACTATGGTAACCGAACTGACACTCGTAAATTTGTTTCCCCTGGTCTCATGAATATGTCAGCTGTGTCATCATGAGACCCTATCCCACCAGTCACAGCTCTTCTATATCTTCAGGCACCACTTCTTTGTCTTACTTGGTGACAGTGACAGCCTGAGACCAGTCAAAGGGGAGGATATGTTTCATATTTCCTGCTCTCATCTTCCATTGCTAGATATAAGGTGTATAAGCCACATAACATGATGTTGCCATTTAATAGTGCTAAGCCCACTATCAGCCAAAGTGGCCTCAGTAACCAAAATCAAATTAATTGAAGGCCAGGCTAATAGCTAGAGAAATGTCAGATTAAATTGCCAGTTTGCGTTATAAACAAGTGTTTGCATGAACAACACAAACACAATCATGCAAACTATAATTTAATTGCATGGTAGTGTTTGGTCTAAATTCTTACCAAAATTAAGTTTTCCTTGCACTCCCCACATAAAAATGTGAGTATACTAAATTCAAGGATTTTTATTTATTTATTTTTTTAGAAAAAAATTAACATAATTTTTCAGTCTGAGTATGTTTTATGTTTGTACAGCAAAGGCTGTCTATCATACTCTTGAGACTCAAACCCACAAACTGTCATGAATGGTGTGGAAATACTGCCAATATAAAAACACACAACCTCTTAAATGAGCTTTTACTGACAGCAAGTCTCGTGACTGCGCCTGGAATGATCGCATATGTGTCCGGAATTTCGAGGGTGCGACTATATTTGAAATTACGGTCGCACGGTGCGGCAACAGAAAAATGAGCATCGCTGACTGAAGCACGTGAACGTACGGACCGTAATGCAGCCTGTGAGTCAACTGATCACGATTCGCGAATCAACTTGCTAAACGATCAGCTAACCGTAGTCAGCAAATCAAGGAGCAAATTGACAAAGACAAACAACAAGCACGGTTGGTAGGCGTGTGTATGATTGGCTAGAAGTTTCTGCGACCCTGTGATCTTTCTCAGACAAGATGAAGCGCTCTATTGCTGAGTATTTTTTGAAGGCTTCTCAGCCTTTTGTATTAAGAGAGCAAGAGCGCCCTGAGCCACCGAACAGCCAAGAAACCCCTGATCAACCGGAGCCCACGCCTGATACGGATGTGGAGCACAAGAGCAATGTGG